GGTTTTATAGGGTTTAGGGTTTTAAACCCTAAGCCCTAAACCCCTAAACCCTAAACCCCTAGCCCCCTAAACCGTCCCCCAGCTTCTCCGCGTCCTCCTCGGGAGCTTTCGCCGCCTCGCCCTTTCGCTGCCCCGGCCTGCACTGTCAAAGGGTCCTACATACGCAAAGGGGTCGTTTTCTAATTGGGGTCCCTTTTAGGACCCTAATTTTAGGATCCTTTTTAGAAGGGTGCCGTACTTTTTTGGGGACTGAAACAGGGACCCTAATTTAGAGAACTACCCATGTGGGGGTTAGTAGAGGGTTCGGGTAACAGGCTTCCTTTAAGGATTACTACAATTCAAGGGGTATTCTAGGATTCCCTTAAGGGTTTCCTTTGTGCGGAATACTTCCCCAGACCTTTAGAAACCCTACTTTCTACTTTATTCTACTTGTGCAATATCCCAGGGAATGTTAAGGCTTAGCCATTGGGGCTTCATAGGGATTATAGTACCCTAAAGGGTCACATGTTACCTACCCTACCACGGATCCCTAAACCCTAAGCCCTATAGACCCGAAGATATATAGTAGCAACCGAAAAGTTGGAAACCCAATAGCCTCAATCCTTACAGAGCAATGTATAAGGCATCCCAGCACTGTTTGTCCTTAATCCGGTTTCCAACTTTTGGGGGTTGCTGTAGGTACTTAGAGCCCGTTGGATCTGTGGACATGGGTATTTCTCTAAAATAGGGTCCCTTTTTAGGTCCCCAAAAAAGTACGGCACCATTATAAAGAGGACCCTAAAAGGGACCCTAATTTAGAAAACTATCCCTTATTCCCAAAATATAAAGAGGACCCTAAAAGGGACCCTAATTTAGAGAACTAGCCACATGGGGGTTTCAAGGCTTCGGCTCGGAAGCGCAAAGCGGGCTTAGGGATAAGAGGGACAGCTAGACTTAGACTACGGTATATTCCCATGATCTATTATACTATACAGTCATTAGCACTAAGGGATTAGGCTAGTGGTTTCGACAGGGAAGTGTTACAATCTAACTAGTATTATTGGCTTCTGGTCTTGTATAGGTGATGGTTTAGGGTAGACTTCCGGTTGTAAGGATTGTGCTTAAACGGTTTCAAGGTTTACCTAGAGACATCAGTGTACCTAAAAGGAAAGAGGATATTATGATCTTAAACAACAGGTACATGCCCCTTTTCGAAGGTCTCTACGGAGGGCTTAGCTTCAGGGTCCAGAGGTTTAGAGTTGGGATTCAGAGGCTCGAGGTTTGGCCCGTCCGAGCTTGTTACCATAGTCCCCGAAACCCCTAGAATTCCAGGATCCCCAAGAAGAAAGTTCAATTATAATTTCAAGAATCTGGCGTGCTTCTAGGAGTTAATGCTAAACAACTTAGGTTACAGAAGAGGTTAACAGGGGAGCAGAGCTCGGATTTAGTACTGTAAACTTACAGTAAGGTTCTTTCTCTCAGTAAGATACTGCTTCAGAGGTCAATGCTCCGTTGCCAAGCCAGAACAGGTTCCGAAGTAGGTTCCACTGCAGGGGGTCCTTTAGAGAGATATCAGACGTTGATGAGGTCTCCTGGGCCTTGGGCTCATGCCTCAGTGTCTCGGCTTTCAGGCTGAAGCATTGCGACCACACATGCTGACGGTATTTGTAATTGAGATTTATGTCTTCTGCGCCTGGCAGGTCATGTTGGAGCGTCGGCGTAGGCTTACATAAGCAGTTAACCAAAGACACGAGACCCTACCGACGACACCACACTCCGAATACAATCCCAAAGTGAAGTCCCAAGTTGCCATTAAACACTTCTCGCTTATAAGAAACTAACCGAGAATACTGTTACTACTTACTCTTCCGTTCAGCCCAACTACCAAAGTGGCCTTGTAATCTTGGCTTCGTTCAACTGGGCTTCGTTCAACAATATACTTTGGTTCCTAGATTGGGACACTATGACAAGACTGATGTATAACACTTACTACCCCTCCCGAAACCAAGTAACAAACGTACACATTTCAAAGATCCTATAAGCCACATAACACCGTGACACCGCATAAACTTCTTATATTATGTATATATATATATATATATAGAACTCACAAAAGAAGCATCCTAAAACCTTATTTAAGCTCAAAACCTAAACCCACAACCCCAAATTAAAGCGCCCTAAACTCCCGCTGCTCCGGCCTTTCGGTGGCCGTGGGGGGTTCGAAAAACCACGCGCCCGAGGCACGAAACAGCTTCAGAGTGCTCTCCTTGAGGAGTTTCGGACTTTGTAGGTTTTAGGTGTTTAGGGTTTTATTTATCATAAAGGTTTCGGGTTCACTATATGTTGATTTGAGGACTTGGTGCCTCGGCTAGAGTTTCGTGCTCTCATCGAGGATTGAAACTTGAGGGTAAACCCTCCAGCCCGCAGCTATGAGTCATGCTACTCTTGCACGGAAGTCAAGATTTTCTTCTGGCAGAAATCGGGATGATAAGCGGTTTAGGGAACTTGTGGACGTTCGGATTGAGAGTTCATGGTGACGGGCATTTGTGTGCAAAGTGTATGGCCTTCACACCCTTTAAACCCCTAAACTTCTAAACCCTAAACCCTAATACCCTAAACCGCACATAGAGTGGTTTCCCTTTATAGCCCTGAACTTTTAAGGTTTAGGGCTTAGGGGTCTGGGGTTTTGGGCTTAGGGCCTACCTTTAGAACCCCAAACCCACTTTTTTGTAGGTTCTTATTATAAACACTAATATGGGATTTAAAGGGACCCTACAAAAAAGTAGGTTTTGGGTTCTTAGGGTAGACCCCCCTCCCCCAAACCCCAACCAGGCCTCCAGCTGCATCGCGCGGATCCTGTCACACAGCGCCTGACCGATGCAGGCGGGCAGTTTTCCAAAGCCATGTGGGTGGTTGTCAAAATTAGGGTCCCTTTTTGGGTCCTTATTATAATACGGCACCTATTATTTAGGGTACCCCAAAAAGGACCATAATTTTGACAACTACCCATGTGGGTAGTTCTCTGAATTAGGGTCCCATTTACGGCACCCGTATTAAAAGGACCCTAAAAGGAACGTAGAGAACTGCCCATGTTCTTACCAGAAGAATCAACCCAACCTCAACCCACACACCCTGTCCCCCGCCCCCTGAAACCCTGCCCTAACTACCAAACAACAAACCCCTGAACACTGAAGCCCTGAACCCGAAACCTTAAGCCGAAACTCCTAAACCCTAAACCCTAACCCGCAAACCCAGAAGCCCGACTCCTCCGCATCCAGCGGCTGCGAATCCACCGCGATCGGCTGCACCTGACTGCCGGGCACGACGTATTGACGGCTTAGGGTTTAGGTTTTAAGGTTTAGGGTTTAAGGTTTAGGGTTTAAGGTTCAAGGGTTAAGGTTTAGGCTTTAAGGTTTAGGGTTTAGGGTTCAGGGTTAAGCCGGTTAAGCCCATGGAAACCAAAGAGTTATGGTAAAGCTGGTAAAGAAACAAGGGCAATGAAGCTCTACTCCAAAACCCAGCTACAACAGTTGAACCCGACTTGCTAGAGCCATTGAAGCCGCAAAAGTAGGTGAAATAATGGCCCAACCCGCATAAAAGGCTATTGTTCTACATACTTTGGGGGTCCAGGTAAGGCGTAAACATGCTGCTACCCCGCACAACGCCCTTCTACGGCGACGGAAGGGCGACAACCTTACAACCCAAAACTACAAAAACTCCCTAAACCCTGCGAGTTTTAAGTCCCCTAACATCCGAAACAATACTACCAGTACAATTCTAAACTGCGGAAACCTGAAACTCGAAGTGCCCAAAACCCCTAAAACCTTCAACCCTGCAAGCCCAAACCCCAACTCCTGAAACCATAAACCCTGAAAGCCATGAGCCCCAAACCCTAAACTGAAAAAGCCAAGGGGATACTAATACCAACTTCTTCCGACCTCTAATAAACTGGCGCCTCAATTAGTCGTCTCCACACGCCCTGAAGAACCTGCCTTTTTAAAATTGGCTCCAGGGCTCCTTATTACGATGCCTTATATTATAGGGTTTAGGGTTTAGAGTTTAGGGCCCTTAAAAAAGGTAGGTGATGGGCCCAGGTACATCCTGAACTCTCTCTATAGACACTTAAGCCTTGCACCTCGGACAGTCGGTTCCAGCTCTTCTTCACAGTCTGCAGGAAGGATCCTTCTAAGCTGGCGCGGCTGCCGCCCTCCTTGGGGCTTCGGGTTTAATTAAGGGGTTGGGGGTCGGGGGGTTTGTGGTCTATAGCATTTCTTGTTTTAGGAGTTTCAGGTTATAGGCTATAGGGCTTGAGGGGTTAGAGGCTTACAGCACTCGAAAGGATGAAAAGGTGTGGGTGCGCTAAACCCTAAACTGCGGGCTAGGGGTTAGGGTTTAAGGAGTTGGCGGGTCAAGTGATTTGGGCTTCTAGGGTTTACCTTAAACCCGAATGCCGAAGAAAGAGGAAGCCTGCAGCATCCAAAACTAGGTTTCGGCATTCTAGTCCCCTAAAGCCTCTACCAAAACAAAAAGGTGCCGTTATTCGATTGTAGGTCTAGTCTGGCGTGATCTAGGGAGCACATGAGCCAGCAGAATGTTAAGTGCCTGCGGTTTTGGCTTTAAGGTTCAGAGTTTGTGCGGTTTCGGGTTTCGGATTCAGGGTGTAGGGTGCTGCAAGGGTTTAGGGTTTAGGGTTTAGGGTTTAGGGTTTAGGGTTCAATCCTGGGTTTCAGGTTCGCGTGCCGAACTTGCTTTAGCTGATCCGGCATCTCGCGATGATGTGGGCTAGTCACCGTGTATATTTTTATAGGGGCCTTAATAATTACCTATACTATTTTTGTGGCTCCTTATTATAACCACAATATAACATACCCCAAAACCGAAAAGCCTGTTCCAATGATTATGGCCCCTAGATTATATGGGCCACGACACCCTAACCCCTAATCCATGGCTTGATTCGCCCTGTGAACAAGATCGGGGTCTTAATCGTTGGAATTATAGTCTGATACAGTATACTTGTAAACGGGAACCCGAAAACTGCTAAATAAGAAAAATATGTAGAAATATATTTAGGCATACAGATATATCCATGTATATATATATATAAATACTGATAGTTGCAAAGGACTGCATGCTGCTCCTCAAAAATCCCAAGTCAGGTCTCCTCGTCCTGCTTTGCGTCATCGATGCACGTGCCCAGGCCTTCTCAAATGCAGGCTTCCCGTGTTCAAGAAACCCCGTGGCTAGGCACAATGGTACGAGGGTTATTCTGATTCTGAGCCCTAATACCCTATGGTATGACGGCTATTCTGAATCCTCATACCCTATAGTATATGAAAACTATTCTGAACCCTAATACCCTATAGTCTGAAAGCGGTTCTGACCCTTAATACCCTAAACTATGGAGGCTATTCTGAACCTAAATACCCTAAACCTTAAACCAAAAAGCCCCAAGCCCTTAACCCTTCGGAGACTCCGGCTTCAGGCTGGGGACAAGCTCGGGGCTTAGGGTTTAGGGTTTCTTCTTCCGGCGAATGTCGCTTCTACCGGCTTGTGGGTCACTTCATCTGGGCTTCAGGTGAAGGAAGAATAATCCTTCCGTTCAGTGCCGTACAAAAAGGATCTAGTACATCTATAGGATTTAGGGTTGAGGGGGTATAAGATTGAGCCCGCATGGTGAGGGGTGTGAGCCCCTACACAACAACACCGTACAAGCAGTAACCCATCAAACACCTTGCACGCCACACTTGAAGACACGAGCACGCTAAACACCTTGCCCCATGAACAAAAAAGTTCTGAAGGTCTGACTAAAAAACAAACTCTGAACCCAAAGCCCTAAAGGCCTTTGGCCTTCGTGAACAAAATGCATGAGATCCTATCGAACACAGCCCCGATCAAAGCATTCTGAAACCGCTGTACTCAAAAACCCTATTCCTAAAGCCAAGAAACTCCAACTTTTCGACGCGGTTTGCGCCGCTTGGCACTGCCTGCGGTGGGTGCCCTCCTCCTGCGCTTCGGGCTTATATGGGTTAAATTTAGGGTTCAGGATACCCCCTAGACTTGAGTGCCTGGGGTTTAGAGGGCTTCATAACACTATTGGGGACGTTTTCTTCAGGGTCTTTGGATTGAACATTGGATACTTATAATTAAGGCCATGCGTAGATGATAAGACAGGATTTTGGGGATCTGTTTTTTTCCCCACCCCGCCACCGAAGGGCAGAAATTTGCTAATCGTTCTTAAACTACTCTGGCCCAATGTGCTGCCCAAATTCCAATGTATGAAGTCAAGACCCTCGGATGACTGATACAAGGGCTTTAATACGTAGAATATGTTAGACTAGGGTTTGTGAGTACATTACAGTATAGCTGTATAAGGACTTGATATAAGGACTTTAATACTTAGAACAGTGTTTGTGTGTATATTATAGTATAACTACAAAGGGACTGTTTAGGGCGAAAAGCTAGAAGTTATTCCGACCCCCATCGCATCTGTGCTCCACTGGTGCACCTGGGTGGTTCTCTAAATTAGGGTCCCCCTGTAACCCTTTATAGATCCCCAACATAGTACGGCACGCTTGTAAAACGGACCGTAAACCCGAAACGGGACCCTAATTTGGAGAACTACCCACCTCGCCCTCGAACCCTGAACCGGAAATGGCGTAGGGTTTAGGTTTACCATACAGGGTTGAAACCCTACACCCTGAACGGTAAACTAGGCAAGAGTGAAAAGCAGTAGTTCATACACAAACAGAGGCCCTTCACCCTTGAAACCTTACTATACGGTATTTCACCTCCATTCACACATATGGAAGGGGGCGAGCAGTTGGGGGTTCTCTGCGCTAGTGGGATGTAGAAAACCCGATAGACCCGAAACTCTGAACCCTGTACCATTGAGAATTTGGGCATCAAGCGAAACCCCGCGTAGCCCACGACGTTGTCGATACCCTTGTAGAAACCTATCCTGTAGACCCCTGATTACGTAAACCCCACCCTACAACCTAAACCCCAAGTCCTGCGAATGGATTCGAGACATCCGCTCTCCAAACTCACGGAAAAAGGCATTGTCCACAGGATATCCAGCGCGAATAGCCTGACGTGTTAATAGTCTCAAGTTGCCTAAACAATAAGCCCTCTAGGGTGAGCTAGGACAAATCTTAAATTCCAAGAAACTTCCTCGGCCTGCGAACCAGAAGCGCATTGGGATATTCGGCATACTTTGTTGAGGTCGGCACCAGAGAAAACAGATGTAGAATTTAGGAAGAAGTACATCGAAAAACCCTTAAAGGAAGTTGGAAGGTTCCTCAAAGTACCAATTTATGTATCATGTTCCACCTGTGTTAACTGGCTCACAGGCATGCGGTCTACTGCTACTTTGTCTGTGGCTTCCCATGTTGTCTGCACGCTCAGTCTTCCCTAAACTGTTAACCCCGAGACCCCTAAACCCTAAACCGCGACACGCCAAACTCTAAATCCCTCAACTCTTAAACCTAAAACCCTAAACCCTAATTAGACCCCCTACTCTGACCGAAACAGGGGACCCTCAATCTTGCTCTGCAATTCGGGTCTGTAGCCCTCAGGTACCTGGAACCGAAAAGCCCGAAAACTTTGGACCTAGAGAGCAAGCTTCAAAAACAAAGTAAACGTACGAAGTTATTAGGGGGGTCATATCCTGTTTTAAATCAAAAGCTACAGTGGTTTATTACTCTATGTTACTCTAGGTCTCTTGAAAGCAGACCTAAAGAGCTGAAACCTCTGTGCGTACTTGCTTTGTAAAGTGGAACCAGTGACCTGCGAACATGCGAAAAAACACTACATCCGATGGAACTTGCACGACGAGACTAGCAGAACCTTACAAAACCCGAAACGGCCTGCGCAGTGGCTCGGAGGTGCAGCGAAAGGGCTAAGGCACTCCGCAAAGCCTTGATGGTTCAGCGATAGGATGTAACCCTAACCCTCCAGGTACCTGCTATATAGGGCCTTAGGGTCTCTAGTACCCTACATAGTAGGTTACTGGGGGGTTAGGGTAAGGCATTAAACCCTAAGACTCCAGCTGGACCAAAGCAGGTTCAATTTATGGAATTTAGACGCTGCCTAATGTAGGGTTGATGGGGAACGGGGCGAATGGGTCATGAAAGTGGAGACATTCACAGGCTTCAGCGTTTCAGGGATCTCGCTCACTGGGCGACTACCATATTGGACTCGAGTCAGGGTTGACGTGAGCCTACAAAGCCCCGTGTGACAACGTGTAAGTCCCCAATCCTAAACCCAATATGTCCAGAACAGCACACACACACAACCTACAACAAACTTGCGGAACACGAGCAATTCGACGTAGCAGAAGGCCCGAATACTCTTAAATAAAAGTAGTCATGGTAGTCATAGTAGAAAAGCATAACCAAAGAAAATACTGGAGATAGTACAGGTACCAGTGATCCAAGACCCTAAACCCTAGAACCCCAGAGAGCCATTCCCAGCCATTCCTAAAGTAAAGAACAATAAACCCTGAACCCTCAACCCAAAGCCCTACTAGGCCTGGAACCCGAAACCCCCTAAACCCAAACCCTAAACTGCTAGCCCCTAAACTCCACTCTAAACCCGAGAACCCGAGAAACCCTAAACCCTCAACCGTGAACACTGAACCTAAACGCTATAGAGCCCCTAAACCCTACAGAACCCCTAAACCCTATAACACCCCTAAGCCCTCTCGAACCCCTAAACCCTATAGAACCCCTAGACCCTATAGAACCCCTAGACTCTGTAGAACCCCTAAACTAAACCCTATAGAACCCCCCCAGAACCCTCGGATTCTGAGCCCAGCTAAGTGGCAGCGTTGTGGCCTCGACCGGGCCAGGGGTTCGAGAGGCCGGCGGCCTTCGGATGCGCTGTGAGCTCTTTTTTGTTTAGGGCTGGTAGGGTGCTATAATTTCGGGTTTAGGGGTTTAGGGTTCAGGGTTTCGGGTTTAGGGCTTGTAGGGTTCGTAGGGTTTGGGATTATTTTTCGTTTAGGGCTATAGGGTTCGTAGGGTTTGGGATTATTTTTCGTTTAGGGCTTGTAGGGTTCATAGGGTTTGGGATTCTTTTTTGTTTAGGGCTTGTAGGGTACTTAAATTTAGGGTTTAGGGTTTAAGGGTTTAGGGTTCAGGGTTTAGGGTTTTGGGGCTTGTAGGGTTTATAGGGTTTTGGATTGCAGGTTTGGCGTTTTGATATTTTTTGGTGTGGTCCGTGGATTGAGTATTTGATTCTGTTGGTTTGTGGGTTTGAATGTAGTGCTTCCATTTTCAGCTGTTGCAGGTGGATTTAGTGCCTCCTTGTGTATGGCTCCAGTGCATATGGTGATTTGCTGTTCGTGACGATGTGCAGTGGGTGTGCTATATTTTTGTTGCTCTGCTGTTGGGGCATTGTGTCCATAAATATGTTGGTTTGTTGCTTGTGTTGTGTATAGATGTATCTATCTGTCTATCTATCTATCTATCTATCTATCTATCTAAGCCAATCTAATCTTTTCTAGCACAATCTAACCTAATCAAATCTAGTTATCTGTCTATCTATCTATCTATCTATCTATCCATCCGATCGAACGACCAGTCTATTGATCCATCTATCGATCCACCCATCCATCTTTCTAGCTGTCTGTGTGCCTGTGGATGAATTTGCATGCACGTGCTCGACAGTGCTTTTGAAAACTTGAGGGCCGGTGTTGTTGCTGCAGTGTTGTGCGGAAGTCATTGAAAGCTTGTGCTGCTAAACGGTCCTCAAACCTGAAGCCCTTAACCCTGAACAGTATAATAAACCTTAAACCGCAAAATCAGTAGACAGCTGTTTTAAATCCCGCAACCTTTAACCGTGCCTAAAGCCTTTAGCCTTAACCCCTGAACACTGCAAGCCCTAATCCCTAAACATCCTAAACTGTAGCTCTGATGTTGTGAAGCTACCCGATCTCAGCCTTGGCATTGAAACTGAGTTTTGATCTCGACTCGAATGCGCAGCAGAAAAGATTCTCGTTCAAGGGTGTAGGGGTCCTGGGGTTCTGCAGCTGACGCGAAATCCCTTGGCAGCAGGCAGCGCTCGCAAGCCCAACATCCCGACAAATGGTTCAGGGTTTACGGGTTTTTAAGGGTAACGACAAGATCAGGCTTGCAGTGCAGTTGCCGCGACTTTGTGCACAAAGAGTCAAGCTGTACACCGGCTAATTATGTCCCTAAGGGTCCAGGTGCCGGTAGTGATCATAATCATATTCTCCCAAAGACTATCCTACCAAACCTACTATCCGAAACCCAAGTAACTAATTGCTAGGCCCCTCAAAAGAACATCGAGATATATCGAGATACAATGGAAGCCCTTGTGGCTTATACCTTCCGCTCAGCAGAAAACGACAAGAACAAGGCTCGGTCCTTGGGATCCTCAGGGTTTGGGGCTCTCGATCCTTCAAAAACCCCACCGAAGTGGAGCTAATGGGCCTCGCCCACCGCGAAGGCCCAGGGGTGAGCCACGCAAAGCGCGGATAACTCTGGTGCCACCAGGCTTTCCACCTGAGGCTTAGGGCAAAGTGTACGGTCTAAGGCGTAGGTTTTTGGTTTAGGGGTTCGGAAAGCCGTTCAGGGGCTGTAGTGTTGTCTGGGAGTTGTTTAGATGTTCAAGGCTTCCAGAGGGACTTTTGGATTGAGGTTTATGGCTGCGGCTGGGTGTGAAGCTTCTGCTTCCCAAGGCCTATGGGCTTGAAGGGTATATGCTTTGAGCAGACGTGTGTTGAGGACTGTTGTAGATCAGATATTCCGTCGTAGAACCGTATCCTTCCTGCCGATACCGTAGCAATACTCGTTCGGTCTCGCATGTTGTTCTGGATAGTACTAGGGTCTCTTTTTAGGTCCCCCAATATAGTACGGCACTCTTCTGAACAAGGGCCCAAGGCTTCAAGGGGGGCTTTAATTTAGAGAACTACCCTTATGATGCCTGGTGAGATTGTGGATCTTCGTGATTGTTTCATTCCGCAAGCTGGGCACGGAAATCTTGGACGTAAATACCCTGAACCCTAAACCCTGAACCCTAAAACCCCAAACCCTTAAACCCTAAATTTAAATACACTACACCCTAAACCCTAAACCCGACGAGCCCTGAACAGATGAGGGTGTTGGGACCTTGGACCCCGGACTGTGTTAGCAATTGGTTCCCACGTCCCCTAGCCCGAAACTCAGAACCCCCCTAGGGTTTAGGGTTCACGGTTCAGGGTTTAGGGTTCAGGGTTCAGGGTTTCGGGTTTAGAGTTCAGGGTTCAGGGTTCAGGGTTTAAGCGTTTAGGTTTCAGGGTTCAGGGTTTCGGGTTTAGGTTTCAGGGTTCAGGCTTTAGGGTTTGGGGTTCGGGGTTTAGGGTTCCGATTCCCAAATCCCAAACCTCTACATTACGAATCCAACTCGACTTTCCGACCACACACCTCATAGAGGTACTAGTACTAGTACGAGTCATGATTTTAGCAACCACGCTAGTAGCAGAGGCACCAGCAGTAATGGTGGCAGTACATAGCGCTCGTCGTCTTTTCTGTTGTTCCTTGGTTGGATTCAACAAACTCTTAATAATTGGAATGGGTTTTGGGGTACCTTATAGTACAACTGTAGTAAGAAACCCTAAGGAATAAGATTGGTAACTATTGAGGCTTCTATAGTAGCCCTAAAACCTCAACCTAATGCGCTCTTGCCCTGAATTCTTCGCACTTGACGGTTTAGGGTGATGAGGATCCTAATGTAGGGGCCTTCATAACTAGAATAGGCTGTTGGGGATTCCTTCATATAACTATAGTAGAATATACCCCAAACCCTATTCTAATTATAAAGGCCCCTCTGTTACATGAGAGTCCCCTGTGTAATCTGACACTCCCAGCTGCCTCCGCGAAGTAGTTCGAGCGGCCTGCTTACTTATCAGAAGGTCGCGGGACCCTAGAACACATGGAAGTCGGTTTAGGGTTTGGGGTTTAGGGTTTAGGGCTTGAAAGAGGGGGCCAGGGCTTAAAGGTATATTTCACCCCTTACACTAACATTCTAAGTTATAAACTGCCACAACGTAAACCCAGGCCACCCCCCAAAATCCGCAAACCCTAAACCTTGCTTCCCGCAGTCTAAACATGCTTAAATCCTAGTTACTGCAAACTCTCAACACCCTTGTTCCATTGCTGCAAACGCCATGCCAAGCCAACGCTTGTAAACTCCTTATGAAGGACTTATGAAGCCAGTACAAAACTGTGTAAATCCGTGATGGTGGACATCTCTCTCTCTCTCTCTATATATATATATATATATAACTAAATGTAACATCCTATCAACCCCTTTATAACTCTTGTATGAAGCACTTCGACAAGCTTCACAAAACCTCATAACGACGAGGCGTCATCAAGTCTCTGTCTAATTTTCAGAGTGTATAGTTAAGTTTAGTTTCAGGCTTGGGGGGTGAGTTCTTGGGATGATCTCTTTAGGCTTTCTTGTGCTATATGTCCTTAACGATTTCAGGTGAAGCGGGTTCGAAGTTTGGTCTTAAAATAAAGTTTAGGGTTCTCGACAAGTTCAGGCTGAGGGGTTGACGTTTAGATACGTTTGAGATTTAGGGTTTAGGTTTTAGGGCTCTTGAAAAGTTGTATGCTCCTGCGCCAAGGAGACCAATCAGCTTGCACCACTTGCTCTTGGGACCTCAAGTTCTGTCCCATCAGACTCAACATTCCTGACACGACAAGGAACTTGGGGAGCTCAGATGCATCCGCTGCATCTTGCGAACATTCCCATTTTTCAGCAGGCATACATGCAGAAGAAACATCTCAAAGAGTCTCCAGCCCTGCAACACACAACCTTCAATCGATGCACTCACAAAGACGACAAACCGAATAATGCAGCCGAAACTGGCTGTGAACCCTAGACCCTGGCTATGAAGACTCCCCCAGTTCTAAACAGGTCTGCCCTCCAGCCTCTCTGAACTTACTTTGCTGCGGCTGCTGCGATAGGTCCCCTCGCAGTTGACCCTGACCACATCATAAGGGTTCAAAGCCCCTAAACCTCAAACCCTAGACGCCCTAAACCATCCCTGAACCCTAAACCCTAAACAACTGCGCGCACCTTGCAGATCTGGACGCCATCGCGCAGCCGTGGTGGCCGCAGATTCCGGGAGGCCAAAAAGCTTGAAGCCCTTTTGTACCTGCAGGGTTGAGGGTCTTCTCCCCAAGCATAGGATTTTGGAGCTTCTTAAAATTTGTAGTTATAGGATGCTTTTTTTGGCAGGTTTTGAAGCTGAAGGCTGCATGGGTTCAGAGTGTGGCTTCTCAAGGATCTCATAAGGGGATTATGATGACACTTCGGTTAGGAGTGAGATACACACAAACACATAATACAGAATAAGGCGGCAGAAATAAATCATACTGTACCAGCCCAAAAGTCTATTCTAAGAATTAAGGCCCTGTCACTTTTCGGATGTTCGAGCTTTGCAGCTCCTGGCTTTCCAGGTGAAGTGTCAGTGCGTAGCTTGAGGCTTGAGGGCTTTGGATGGGAAGCAGAATGATCGTACTTGTACACGGTTATCACGCTTCCTTCTTCAGGAGGACGTCATTCTGCTAACCTCAACCGGCTGACATTTCTCAGCCTGTATGCAAACCCCCCTAACTACCCTATCTGGGATGCCATGACGTACAGAACACTCGCAGAGACACCAGGCAGAACCTTACAGCATCTTGAGTCCTAAGTCCATTCGACAAGAATCTAAATCTTGCAGTGTGCAGGTACACACAACACTGTCCACCAAGCCACAACCGCAACAAATCTGCTGCCACACACACGGCTAGAATGTGACCAAACTATTTATAATCAATGATTTGAAAACACAGAGCAAACCCTCAACGCTAAGATCTCCAACTAAATCCTGAACCCTCCACGCCCTGAGCCCTGAACCTGCAAGTCCTACACCCTGAACCCTTGTGAATCCTGAAAAACCGATAACCCCAACCACTAAACCCCGGCTACCGATCTCTTCGCCAAATCTTCCGCCTCGCTCCATAGCTCCGAGTCCCGAAGCTTCCCCACCTGTCGAAATCTGCAGGGATAGGGTTGGTGATGAGAAACCCTGCATCACTTTAAGGACCCTAAACTATGGGAGTTATGGTATATATTCCTTACCTATGGGTCATGCAGGATCTATATCATCAACCGTAGGGTTTTGTTTTTTTTCTTGAGCGCCTCATTCTCTGCGCCACTCAAGGGGTTAAGAACCCGCGGTTGGGGAGAGGCCGGGAGCAAGGGTTTTGGGTTTGGGGTTCAGGGCTTAGGTGACTAAAACAAAGGCGTACAGTGTTCTATGACTTCGATCGGGGCAAGGGGCGGGGTTTTAAGTTCGGGGTTTTTCCGGCCAAGTTTACGACTTAGGGTTAGGCGTAGTTTAGACCCGGCAAAACATAAGGTGTATACATGTAGACCCTGATTCTGGCTGGGACATGGGTGGGGCGAGCTGTTGCCCTGAGGCTCCATGTGCCCATAAAATCTACATATATAGTACATACTTAGGCCTTGACGTTCTTGTATTATATATGGGCCCCTGTAAGGCTTACGTACGAACTATCCGAAGACCTGTTGAGAAAATGAGACACAGAGTAAAGTCAACCCCTAAAGGCCCTGACTGAGCCCTCAATCCTAGAGTCCCGGCTGTAGTTCCTTTCGGAGTACCTTATAGATCTTCAATAGAAAACTGGTGCAACCCCCCCCAACAAATATATAATAGTAATTAAAACTACCATGGAGACTATAGGTGCAAGCCCCGAGCCCTAAAGATCGGAATGAACCCCGCTTCGAAGAAGGAGCCACACCGACCGCTATTGACCGCTTGCCTACGAGGAAGCGCATACTTCTTCTGAAGAAGCCCTGAGACAAGACCTAACCTCTAAACCCTAAAGCCCTAAACCGTAAACCAACTGTAAACTGAGCTCCGCTTACAGCCAGACGCATCTTCACACAACAAACATCGCAAACCCCAAGCCCGAAATCCAACCCCAAATACCTAAACCCGAAACCCAAGCCCGCGAACCCTAAACCACAAACCTTAAACCCTACCCTAACCCCAAATAACCTATAAGGAAATCATATTAAGGAACCGCAAAAAGGTAGGCTGTATAGGGTCCAGGTATACCCCAAACCCTAAAACCCTGAACTCCTAAACCCTAAACCCTAAAACCCTAAAGCCCTGAACCCTAAACCCTAAAACCCTAAAGCCCTGAACTCCAACCATGAAACCCCAAAGCCGCAGATGCTGAGCACCCCAGCCTCCTGTGGTCCCGAAGGTTCTAAGCTCCCAGTCTCGGAGTCAGCAAGAATCATACCTTACTTTTTAGGGTTTACGGTTTAGGGTCTAGGGTTCAGGGTTTAAAGGTTTAGGTTTAAGGTTTAGGGTTAAGGGTCTAGGGCTATAAGGTTTAGGGTTTAAGGTTCAGGGTTTCGGGTTTCGGGCGCCAGAAACCCCAAACCCGGAAGCCCTACCCAAAGAAACCAAGGTACCTTAAACAACAGTAAGTGTACTCGTTTATTAGGGTCATATCCCTTTCTTTAAAGTGTCCCTAGACTCTCCCTAGACCCTAATGTTCTTGGGGTCATATCTCCTTTAAATTAAACAAAGGTCAAAGTCCTCCTAAATCCAAAGCCGCCTCAGCCCGGGGAGCACGGGGCTTGAAGGCTTCACCCTACATCCTAAACCCTAAACCTTAAACCCCAAACCTTGAACCCTGAACCCTAAACCTTAAACCCTAAACCTTGAACCCCGAACCTTAAACCCTAAACCCTAAACCCTGAACCTTAAACCCTAAACCCTAAACCCTAAACCCTGAACCTTAAACCCTAAACCCTGAACCTTAAACCCAAAAAACCCTAAACCCTGAATCCTGAACCTTAAACCCCAAACCGTAAACCCTGCACCTTAAACCCTAAACCCTGAGCCCCAAACTAGGGTTCTGGCTTTACATCGTCCCGGCTTCTCAGGCTGAAGGCGTTGCAAGACTTAGGGTTTAGGCTTCAGGGTTGAGGTTTTCAGAGCGTTCCCTAAACCCTGAACCCTGAAGCCTAGAGAAATTGAGGTTTATAGAGCTGTTGCCTAAACCCTAAACCCCTAGACCCTGAACCCTCTAGGGATTGAGGTTTGTGGAGTTTTGGGTCTAGGGTTCGGGGTTAGGCCGAAGCACTTCGGCTTCGGGTTTCGAGCTCAAGAAAATCGGACCTACGGCACTCAGTTTCGGTTTAGGGTTTAGGGGTTTAGGGGCTTGGGTTTAAGGATTTAGGGATTTAAGGATTCAGGGATTTTAGGGTTTAAGACTTTAGCGTGTTAGGAATTGAGGGTCTAGGGTTTAAGGATCGAAGTTTCAGGCTCGCGGCTCTCTGGCGTACAGTTTTCCTGAACCCTGTAATCCCTGTACACCGTCTCGCTGGCTTGTATACAGGAATCATAATCATGAAGCCTAAAAGGGCAGGGTCTTGGCGGTTCATAGAGGCTCAGAGCCTATATTTCTAGAGGCGGAGAGCTTGGCTAGCTTCCAGGGGTAGACAGACAAGGACTAAGGGTTATAGGGTTTATAGTAGGTTTCGGAATACTTGAACCCTAAACCCGAACCCCTGGAGTTAGATGGAACCTCGGCCTGAGCAAAGGAGCCCGAGCTTCCTTTCGGGCTCCTTTCATGATGAGTCACAACGGTTATAGCGGAGCTTGAGTGGAGCACCCCAGGTTTTATCCGAAAGCCTACTTCACAGCTATTGGGTACTTTGGTCCCTTAGAGCCTTAGGGCTATATGGGGGTTTCCGAAAATAGGGGACCCTAATATAGTATCCTAAATAATAGGATCCTTATTATAAGGACCCCCCAAAATGAGGTACCCCTATTTTCGGAAACCCCCATATGGGAATCTCTGGACAAGCTGCTCATCACCCCTTTCTGTGCAGTCGCGGCGTTCAGCAAGAAGCGCCTTCCGGGTGTTAATTTCCAGATACACGCCATAAGGGTTTGGGGGTTTAGGGCTTCGGGGTTTAGGGGTTTAGGGCTTTAGGGTTTGGGGTTTAGGAGTTTAGGGTTTATAGGGGTGTATAAGGGTTCATGCTAAGTTCAAAGGGCTCTAAGCACCTACTTGGCACAATTTAGGGTGAAAAGTACGTCATTAAGGCTCATAAATCAGGTTTTGGAGTACGTAGAGTCTGAGGTTGAGTTGGAAAGCCTGGCAGGTGCTACTTGGAGAGGGTTATGGGTCAGGGTTAAAATCAGACGCTTGTAGGATGTTGTAGGGTTTCGAATTAGTCAAGGCCTAAACCCTAAACCCCCAGTCCTGAGGAACCGAAGGGCCGGGATGCCACAGGTCAGCAGTCGGTCGGCACCCAAAACACAATGTAGAAGTCTTAATGGTTACAATAGGGTTATAGGGGGTCCACTATGGTAGCACTCTCTAGAGCCATTCGGGGATACTAATTCTAATTATTCCGACCGAAGAGGGCCAAGATCAATAGCTTTCATGACTCAGGAGTGGTTTAGACAAGTGTTTATAATAGACATAGACCGATGCATCTTTTGCGCCAGATCTGAGGCCGCCGCGTGTTGTCCAAGCAAGTCCTCATTGGTGTCTTTTTTCTGAGTTTTCATGCTCGGTTATTGCCCAACCCGAGCTTCACAGTCTGGGTAGTAAGGTCCCCAAATGTGGCTCGCTTTGCTTCGTGACCACTGAGCAGTACCGAAGACTGGAAACTTCGCCTTGTTGCGACTGTGGTCAGATGTCTGAAACTCTTGGGCAATCAAAACGCAGTTGTCTTTGGTATACGTCGAAGAGTTGTCCAAGCGCTCGATGGACCAGACCCAATCGGAAGGGCCTGCTGCACAGTGCAGCGGCACACCTGAGTAGTAGCATCGTCCACCTTGGAGCCAAAGCATACCAAGCATGTCGTCCAAATCGAGTGCAAAACTGTCGTTCCAAAGGGAGTTTCTGTCTCTTTGGCGGGCACAAGCGAGTAAACTGAGCCCGTGCCCGCGCATAGTCTGCACCCGGGCTGATCTCAAATCACTGGCACACTGCCTGCAATGGCTTTGTAGCCCATTTCTGCTTGCAGAATTCCGAGAGAATTGCGACTGCTGCTTCCAAGCGCCGCACCGCCCGCACAGCCACCTGCGTCCTGCATCTGGTCCTCGAAATCGCCTGGATGATACTGGTCGGGTTAGGGAAGGGCGCAGCCTTGCAACAGCGATGTCTTCCTGCAGTTGTTGCAGCTGAACCTGCTCTTCTCGAACACGGATCACCTCCTGGACCTTCTGCTTGGACCACTGCGAAGATCCACAAGAAGAGCCCTCCTCGTTGCAGATCTTGTGGACCGCTGAATTGAATTCAGCTGCAATCAGACAGTAGTTCCCTTTAACGTAACCTCGTCGGTTGTCGATCCTTTCGATGGAAGCCCTCCAGTGTGAATGCGGCTTTAAGATTTCCATCGGTACACCAGAATATGCGCACAAGCCACCCTGCTCAAATACGAGGTCTAGCAGATGGTCCGTATTTATATCGGACTGCCGGCCCTTCTTGCGGTCTCTTCCACGAGCGTTTCGGGCCACGTTCACACACCAGCCTCGCAGCGTCGATCTATAGTGGTAATCGTAGGCCGCCTTTGTCAGCCCTTTGTTTCCGAGCCTCTGTGGGCTTCTGGCTTCCTGAACCAGTCGTGCCAGGTCTTCACAGGCAGTGGGACTCGGCGGTTTGTCGTCGCAGATCGTGGAAGTTGATATCCTGCAACCCACCTTACATACAGCTGGCTTTCTCCACAATATCAGAGCTGCCAGCGTGCAATTTCTCAGGCCGGGCCTGCGTAGCGATGGAGACACAAAGATCCAGCTTCGTTGAAGCATCGGTGCCAACTGCCATGACAAAGTTGTTGACAACGTGGAGCCTTCGCTGAATACCTGATTCTGTGGGTTGTCCGGCCTCGAGCAATGCCTGCTCAGTTGTCTCCAGTGTACACTGTGCTATGCGGAACTTGCTCGACGATCCGACACAGACTCGATCACACACTGCTTGGAGGATGATGTTCATTTATAACACGACGGATAGCTGATGGTCACCTCGGGAAACCGCATCCGGAGATAGATCGATAGACAAGTGGACACACACACACACATATGTATATATATATATATATACATATATATATATATAAGTAGATAGGTAGGTGGGTAGGTAGGTAGGTAGGTAGGTAGGTAGGCAGGCAGGCAGGGAGGTAGGTAGGTAGGTAGGTAGGCAGGCAGGCAGGCAGGTAGGTAGGTAGGTAGGTTGGTTGGTTGGTTGGTTGGTTGGTTGGTTGGTAGGTTGGTTGGTAGACAGATAGACCGATAGATATATACGTAGATACATAGATAGACAGATAGATAGATAGATAGGTAGATAGGTAGATAGGTAGTCAGGTAGATAGATAGATAGATAGATAGATAGATAGGTAGGTAGATAGATAGATAGTTGGATAGATGGATAGATGGATAGGTAGATGGATGGATAGATAGATAGATAGGCAGGTAGATACATAGGGAGGTAGATACATGGATAGGTCTTAATCGTTTAGTGAATTGATGCACATACTAGACTTAGAAAGAGGTAGCACGGCTCTGAGACGATACGCTAAAACAACTACGAGTGCCAGGCACCGAAGCTACAAAGCATGTTGTCCTACAATCCTTTGTTGGAGGAAGTTGTTTTTCGGTCGGGGGTCTTCATTGATTCCGCTGGATGTTAAGGTTAAGGACTTAAACTTCTGGAAGAACAACGGACACAGCTCGACCTGAGGAGCGTCAACCTCTGGTGGGAGGTTCGGCGATGGCGGTTGAGGCTTAAGCAAGGCACAAATACAAGTACTTACAAATCGAAACCAGGCGAATGACATCGCCCGTAATCTACCATAGCGGTTGCGTAGTTGGTTTGGGGCTTATAATGACTGCGAGTAGGTTGCAATACTGGTGGTGGCAGTTGTAGTAGTAGTAGTAGTAGTAGTAGTAGCAGCAGCAGCAGCACCACAAGCAGCAGTAGTGGTGGCGGAAGCAGTAGCAGGATTTGGCGTAGTCGTCTTCCTACGACGATACCTCATCATAAGGAGTGGGGCGTCAGGGCAAGCCTAAGCGACGGATTAGTTCTTGTCTTTCGCACTTTGCAACCCACAAGCAAACTGAATTAAACCACATGGAGCAGCTAGACCGGTACGGCGAAATGGCGGCAAGGCACTCAACCGGAAGCCCTGAAACCTGCAAACCTAAACTCTAAAGACCTGAAGCCCTGATGTTGCATAAGCCACACCGACACCAAATCCCAGAATCATCAGCCCTCCGACCCCAACACACCCCTTGAAACCCTTAGTAGTGCCCACGTGCAGACTTCGGTCAAGCCCTCTGGCACCTTTGAGCGGTCGAGAGTGTCGCGGCCATGGAGAGGTCTAGCGCCTTCGAGTGGGTCTTTGCTTAGCGATACCAGGCCTTTGAAAGGCCGCAGGGTTCAGAGGTTTGTTCGTTAACTCAGGCAAGCAAGCCCTGAGCCCTCAACCTTGTACTCCACTCACCACTAACACCATGCCTTAGAGAGAGTGCTGAAGGTTCTGGGATGCTATAGGCTCAAAAGCCAAAGGGTCTCAAACCTTAGCCTCCTGCACCTTCAACCCGAGATCGGGTAGGCAGGTGACGATGAGGTGTCTACGTGTGACTCCCACTCTGAGCGTAATGATGATTAGAATTGGGTTTTGGGATGGTTTTTGGGATATATTCACACTAAGGAACATGTCAGTAAGCATTCAGGCCCCTGTTTTATCGCAAGACTGACTCAGCTTCTTCCTACACCTAGCCAGAAGGAACCAATTCTTCGAGACCCTGCTGGGAATCCTGAAACCAGCAGCAAGGATTCCCCCAAACCCTAAAACCCCAAACCCTAAGCTTAAACCTTCAACCCTAATTAAACCCCAAACCTCATTATTCCCACCCTCCCCACACGGAAACAGCGCTACTTGTCGAGGCCTCAACCCTAAACCATAAACCCTATCAACACTATAAGCCCTAAACCCTGAACCCTAAGCCCTAAACCCTTAACCCTAAACCCTAATCCCCAAAAGCCCTAAACCCCAAACCCTGAACCTTAAACCCTATAAACCCTAAAACCCCTAAACCCTATAAACCCTAAGAGCCCTAAAGGCCCTAAAGGCCCTAAACCCTAAACCCCGAACCCTAAACCCTATAAACCCGAAGAGCCCTAAA